AGATCAGGTCGGCGGCATGATGAAAGTAGCACACCGCTGAAGAACGAGGTGATAGTAAGATATTATGCGAGCAATCAATAGCCTAATTATTGTGTTCCAGGTCAATGGGTCAGGGAGATTACTTTTCCACAGGGCGTGTTCACGAGTTCACTCAAACATTATATGCAACAACTCGTACAATCCAGATATACACAGTATAATCTAGACACCAAACGGTATTTCTAGACGTTTTACTCAATATTTTAAACATGGTGGATAGCAGTGGGCAGTACAGGCACAATCTTATATTGCAGTATAATAAAAGCGGTCAGCTTCACTCTTGCTGTTGAAGGTTTTAATCATCTATACTTGTGATAGCAGCGCAGTTAGTCAGTTAGTCACCTGCACTGTGGTGTTTGAATCTCCTCAGCTATGCTAAGTTAACCAGGAGAGAGGAGCTGGCTGGCATTAGCTTAGCTATGAGGCTCCAGCTGCAGACACCAGAGAACAGGTTTAACTTCGGCTCTAATATTTGTCCCTCTAATATCAGCCGCTCAACTTCACTTCAACTATCATCTAAATTTGTGTCAGTAAAGCTTTTGTTAGTCAGAATCGTATCTGTTCTGCGGAGAGCAGCGCTGACGACATGCTAGTTAAGCTAACGCTTACCCGTTACTCTCTCCAGGTTTTCAGCACCGTTTAATGTTTAGAAATTGGGTGTTAGACTGAAGTTTGATGTTTATTGATTAGTGGATTTAAAAACCGTGCTCTGCTTTCATTTATTTGCAGTCTGTGTGAGCGAACTGAACTCAGGATGCTGTGGCAAAAAAACCGACATAAACATAGAATCAATCAGCGAACAGCTACGTCGATACATCATCCCACCGAAAGGTCCTGAGTACTGTTAGCTCACCGTGCCAGAAAAAACGGGCTAAGCTTTTTAAGCGTTCCATGTCAAACCGTGTCCGTTTGGGAACGCCACCGGAACGGTTACCCTCCGTGCTCAGTTATACTTATACTTATACTTATTTATAGATAGACAGACAGATAGACAGATAGACAGACAGATAGATTCAACTTTGTCATTGCTCAGTACATGTACAAGGCAACGAAATGCAGTTAGCATCTACCAGAAGTGCAAATAGTAGCAATAGTGCAAAACGGACTGTGTAAATGTGCAATAACAGGCATAAATATGACGTATCTATGTAATATATAACTATATGAACAATATATACACAATTACCAATATATCTATGAATACATCTATGAATGATATATACACATAATACTATAAATAAAATATACATACGGTATGTTATATACTGTTAGAGTAAGCAGTTGTGTGTTGTGTTCTATATACAGTGAACAGTCTGTTTTATGGAAATGCAAGGGATCATAAATAATAATAAACATTGTGTGCAACATACAAGTAGGAGTATTAGTGGAGCGGTGATGTGCGACCACTATTGCCAACACTGAAACTTCTAAACATTACTGTACATTACAGCAACTTTTTATTATTTACAAATTATTTATCCATTTCAGTCAAAGAGGACAATGTGACCTAATATCCTGACACACTGTGGCCTTGATGGTTGCTACACTGTGTTTAGCTTGACTACATACTGTCCATGTTTACAGGTAACAGTGTGTCATACAGAGTCAGAAACCACATAAGCCAGCCTATTAGCGATTACTGAGCAACTGGACACGGTTTAAGGCAAGTGTGTGATGATTTAGGCCGGGTCAGCCACATGCGTCTCTTTTACTGTCCTGTTGCGGCTCCACAGCAGAATCAGAGATTTTAAGGTAAAAGTAAAATAATCCTCCTCTGCAGTAAAATAAAGCTCTGCTGATCATTCAACACAGTTTTAACACTAAATGGTCTTAAACGCTGGAGTTACTGTAGAGCTGCTAATTCACCCTTTAACTCTGAAGGTTTGCGCACAGACTGCTGTCACCATAGCAACGCAGACAACTAGCTAGTATCTCATGAAACGGCAAAGAGAGAGACGAATATTGATAATTTGGAGATGAACGGACTTATTTGCATTTATAATCACTCATCTGATTTCCTGATACGTTTAATCTGCAATGAGAAACTGTCAAACACTAAAAAGTCGCAAAGCTGAAGTCGCTTCTCATTCAGATTTTCCTGTTACACATTAAATGGTGTACCAGTTACATTCTGGCACCACAGGCACCGTTTAAGATGGAACGGGAAAATTAGAACAAGAAGCTGGAGAATAAGAAGCGACTTCAGCCTTGTAAAAAGTCGAACGTTGAGAGACGTTTTACAAGAAAATATTACACTTTTGCTGAAAAGTTTCCTGCCAGAGATGTGAGAAAAGCAACTGAGATAAAGCTTAAAGCAGAGCAAAGTCAGATTTTTTGTTGATATTATATTTTTTAGTCTATACCAGGACATATTTAAACACATTCTCAGCCAAGATGGTAAAACGTTACTTCAATAAAATGGACATAAAATGTGGCTCCCAAGGTAGTTTGATTTTTGTTGAAAACACAAAATGGCTCCTCTTAACGTTGGGGTTGCCGACCCCTGGTTTAGTCACACAGCTACCACAATGCTCAGTGGTTTCTATATGCTTCAATCCCTTTTTAGCTGCATTAGCCTCCAGTGCAGATGCAAAGAGCAGAAGCCAATAGGTGCAAATTTAGTTTTTGCCAAAATATTGCGTTATTTTCATCGATCATCTATCTTTTCTATCTTTTGCTGCTGTAACACTGAGAATTTCCCTGTTGTGGGACTAATAAAGGATTATCTTATCTTATCCACTTAACCAAAAGATAAAATACTACCAATGCTGCTTTTACAGCACTAATATTTTACAGCATCTTATAGAGCGGGAAAAGCAGGGACCTTGTTTATAAAACATACATAAGTTCACATTAAATTTGTTGTAATAAGTTCTCAGCATTTGCCTCTGAATGATTAATAAAAAGACTTGAACAACAGGTTGGAAACTTGCACTGATCAATGCTTGTTTTATGTCAAATTCCCATTATAAATCACTACATAGACGCTTTCACACACTATCAGATCTGTGCGTACGGCTGTATTATGAAAGATGCCTGTGGTTTTTATAGCATCTCCAGCACTAAACCAGAGCTAACTGTGCTAACCATAAGCAGGGGGCACATTTTCCACTCCACTGCAGATCAGGACAATCGCTGTCATTCTGCATCAGCACTAGCCAACTCTATTGATCTCCTGGGTCACGCGGCCCCAAGGGGCCCTTGGCATTCTCAAAACTGATCTGGCGTCAGTCCTGAAGCTAGAATATGTATCAGAATCAGAATCCGAATCACTTTATTTCGCCAAGTAAGTTGCACTGGTGATGGTTCAGTGTGTTAATGGTGATGGTAAAGCTGAAGGAGAAAAAAACTGATCCAAAACAAGGTCAGTGAAAAGAGAGTGAGCAGCATAGCCAATACCAGGGCCTGTGTGAGAGTCCACTGACTGTGGAAAACTGAAAGGCAATGTAAACAAACGCATTAGTCGCTACTCGTTTCAACAAACCTGACCACTTCAGAGGTTTTGTAGTACGAAACCTGACATCATATCAAACTGGAGGGACCCGAGCCACGTCTGAAAATTCAGCTAAGTACGTAAACATCAATAAGAGGCTGTGTTGAAGTGTGACAGCACAACATCACCCATCACCAACTCTTTTTAGGTGACTTAAACCTCTTTTATGCCAGCCTTGTAGCTCCAAAGCAAAACTAAAGATGTTATCTTCAGATGTCAGTCATGTCAGCTATGTTTGGGGGAAGGGAAAAATTGGGGAAATCAGTGAAACCATTCCTGTAAGCCCAAAGTCAAAACCGTCTAATAGGATGAATGAAAAGAAAACTTGCTATTGACAGTCTTCACTTTGAGTTACACTTTTCAGCTTAATAAGAAATCCAGGGGGATATTTCCTTTGGGCTTAAGTTATCTGGTTAACTAACAAATCATTGTGATTTCTCTCACAGTACAGATCTGACTTTGGGCTTAAGTTATCTGGTTAACTAATAAATCATTGTGAAATCTCCCACTGGACTGATCTGACTTTGGGCTTAAGTTATCTGGTTAACTGATAAATCACTGTGAAATCTCCCACTGGACAGATCTGACTTTGGGCTTAAGTTATCTGGTTAACTGCTAAATCATTGTGAAATCTCCCACTGGACTGATCTGACTTTCAGCTTAAGCTATCTGGTTAACTAACAAATCATTGTGATTTCACTCACAGTACAGATCTGACTTTGGGCTTAAGTTATCTGGTTAACTAACAAATCATTGTGATTTCTCTCACAGTACAGATCTGACTTTGGGCTTAAGCTATCTGGTTAACTGATAAATCATTGTGAAATCTCCCACCGGACAGATCTGACTTTGGGCTTAAGTTATCTGGTTAACTAATAAATCATTGTGAAATCTCCCACTGGACTGATCTGACTTTGGGCTTAAGTTATCTGGTTAACTGATAAATCACTGTGAAATCTCCCACTGGACAGATCTGACTTTGGGCTTAAGTTATCTGGTTAACTGATAAATCATTGTGCTATCTCTCACTTGACTGATCTGACGTTTGGCTCAAGTTATCTGGTTAACTGATAAATCATTGTGAAATCTCCCACTGAACAGATCTGACGTTGGGCTTAAGTTATCTGGTTAACTGATAAATCATTGTGAAATCTCCCACTGAACAGATCTGACGTTGGGCTTAAGTTATCAGGCTAAGTGAGAAATCTGTGAAATTCCCCTCTGGACAGGCTTGACCTTAGACTTAGGTTGTACAGTTAAGAAATCTGGAGGAAACTCCCCAGCGGACAGGCCTGGCCTGAGGACTTTCTCCGAGGCTCGGATGTATTTCCTCGATGAGAAACATGTTTACAAGAAGCAGACAAACTAGACAAGGAATCGAAGGGTCTGTGTCATGGAAGAAGTCCAGCAGACACATGAGGAGAGGTGCACAGAGGGGTTTACGGGCCTCGGGGTGTTGAAAACGCACCTTTTTCGTCCTCGTCGATGCGCAAAGCCACGGAGATGTACTCAAACGCCTGCTTGTGGTGGTTTCTGATCCGCTCACCGGCGGCATCGGGCTCTGCGGCGCCGAGCTCGGTGGGTCTGGCCGCCATGCTGCGACGGAAGAGCCGACAAGTCCAGCAGATGAGAAGGTAGATCCAGGAGAAGAGCGGGTAGATCCAGGAGACGAGCCGCCGTGCAGAGAGAGACGAGCCCCGCACAGGAGACACCCGATCACGGCAGGATGGAGGAGCAGAGCCGTGGAGCGACCTCGCTCTTCCCCCGGGCGCTGAGTTCATCCACCCGGCTCCACGGATCCAAACTCATCCCCGGAGTGAAACAAACCGAAACTTTAACGCTGCTGTGAAAAAGAAAACAAACTCCTCCGCTCTGACTGGGCTGTCTAGGCGGGGACAGACCGGAAACGCCGTCAGCTCCTCTGCTGTGACGGAAACCAGCGTCGTTCAGTTTCTAACCAAAATAATATTTTTTTTATTTTTAATTAAATAACAATTATTTTGTTTTGCTTGGTTCCTTGTTGTATATCTTCTAGTTATCATGAATTCCTTTTAGTTTTAATTTTATTAACGGCCCGTTTCATGGAAAACTTTTTTTTCTCCCTATTTTGTCAATAAAAGAGTTGATGTAGAAGTTAAACACTCTTAGCGCTTAAATGTTGCAGAATTTTTTTTAAATGTTATTTATTTAATTTATTTACACTCACCGATCTACCTACGCAGCCTACAGAAGTTTAGCCCCGCCCACTCATGCTGACGTTGCAAGGAGCTTAAGGAGCTTCACAATACAGCAAGTTTGTAAGTTTAAGCTTCAAGTCTATTTGTCACTTGCACAACATGTCAGGACGTTCATGCATTGAAATGGTGGTGGCGAGGCTCAGATAATCACTCTGCACAAAGTAAATACGTAAAAGAATACTGAGACTGAAATACAGGGTGTCCCAAAAAATTGACATCATTTTGTAATCTAATAACAGCCAATTCTCCCTCAAATGATCTCAAATTTTAACAAAACTAACCAGGTTTAATTTTTAATGTGTTTTTTCGGGTTTAAGAATGGAGTTCTCTAGAAATGAAAAAGCATTTTGTGTGTTAGAACATGCTCGAACACAGTCAGACAAGAGTGTACAGCGCACATTTTCGAGAAAATTCAATAAAAATGCACCAGCTGGAAAGCAGATTTGGACATGGTACAAAAAATTCAAAGAGGAAGGCTGTCTGTGCAGAGCAAAGGGATCTGGACGACCACCAGTATGAGAAGATATTACATTTGTGAAGCTGTGAAATCGGTTATAAAATCTACATCCCTCTGAATTTCTTGTTTGAATTTTGATAAATAAATCTTGTTTTGTTCAACATGAAGCCTGTTTAATTTCGTTGGCCTGTAACATGTAGTTACTCAGATATTCACATCTCAAATGATGTCAGTTTTTTGGGACACCCTGTACATTAAATATAAACAAAATATGCACAAAATATAGAGACAGGAGGGACCTATGTAAGGAGAAAAAACTCTCTGCTATGTACAAATATATTTATATTAAACAAGGGAATAATCTGTGAAGAATATATACATTTTAAAGTGAGTTAAGTGACTCGGTGTTATTGTTATTTGAAGTGACTTAGTGTTAAAGTGTTATTGTCCATAGCAGTAATATGATATTATAATAATAATGCTGACAGAGTGTCCGAGTGAAATGGTATCTGGGGAAGGACCCACAGCTTCACAGCTTGTTCAGAAACCTGACAGCCTGTGGGTTCATTAACCAGGTTGTTCTAGCCTGGATGCTGCAGAATCTCCTGCCTGATGCAGAATGGTGAACAGGCCGTGTGCTGGGTGACACTGTCTGACCAGACACAGGACAACACAGGGCAATGGAGGTAATTCATGTATGTCATTTTTTAAGGCATAGTAAGATTTAAAAAAGCTTGTTTAAATCTAAAGGATAAAGAGAGGTTGGGAACTACACACACACACACACACACACACACACACACACACACACACACACACACATCGTCTAAACTGCTTATCCTTCTGGGTTGCGGTGGGGTAGGTTGAGAAATAGTTATGTACATATAAATTATGTCTGTTTTTTGTTCATAAAAACCACACAAGGAAAAAAATAAAATAAAAAATGCAGGATTCATTTTTAGATCATTTTAAATTAATGCAGTTCATTTTCCCTCATTTTCTGGAGATGTTTTGTAAAGTTTTGTGCTCCTTTGATGAAGCAACGTTAAAATAAAATCTGATGATGAAATAAAAAATTCTCTAAATGAAATAAAACTAGCGTTTTTTCAGTCTAAGGCTGCGTCCAAAACCGCACACCACCACACTACAGCATGTCAGAACTAGTACACTTCAATAGTGCAGTATGTGTAGTTAGGTAGTATGTTTACAGAGCCCCGCTGGTGACATCCTATAAAAATAAAAATAATGCGTGGCCACGCCTTCTTAACGCGTGGGAACGAGATCCTAATGCGTTGCCACGACTTAGTGCGGCGTTGGGAACGAGATCACGGCTTACCAAGTCGTGGCCAGGCGTTAGGATCTCGTTCCCACGCTTTACTAAGTCGTGGCCACGACTTAATCATCTCATTCCCACGCCTTACTAAGTCGTGGCCACGCGTTATTTTTATTTGTACAGGATGTCACCAGCGGGGCTCCGTGGTTTTGGGCGCCCTTAAATGTGACGGAAGTTACGCAAGCGGACGTAAACTGCGGCAGAACGTGGGATTCTCGTTGGCGTTCCGCGCGCTGGTTGCGCAGGAATCACCGCGTAGATACTAACAACAAACATGGCGGACGGTAAGCGAGCGCTTTCTCTCCTTTTGTGATTCGTTAATGCGCGAAAGTAGCTGGTCGATGTGGTCGATTCGGCTTCAGAGATGCGCTTGATTATTAAATAATTCGTAAACTGTTGAAACAAGTGGTTTCTGAGCGCGGTGTCGCTTCGAAACAGCCTCGGAAGGCTTGGCGGGGCTGGTTAGCTCCGTGTTTAGCCCGCTAAGCTAACGGAGCTGATCGAGCCGCCGGTGAGCTGCAGCCGCTAAAGCTGGATGAAATAACCGCGCTGCTCGGCATCACTGTGGATCAGTCTTAACGCTTTCAGACCCGAAACCAACCTGTACCGCACATGTTCATGTTTTCCTGCTCTTGGGTTACATCCAGCTGATGACCCAGTCCTTCTGGAGCAGGTGAGCTCGAAACTGTGCGGTGCAGGTAAGTGAGAGTAACCTTAACCTAACTTAGTGAACTGAAGGTGGGAAACACCGATTAAAGGCGTTTATCTGATGTCTAGCAATGAATATCAGTGCTGCTCTCGATTATTCGGCAGATAGTTTAGCTAGACTGCTAAAACAGCCTCATTGTCGTTGGCTGTGTTGAAGGGGAGCTCCACCGATTTTCCCAAAATTCTGTATAACTTAATGGTTGAGATATAAACAGAGTCATTCAGAGTGGTTTGGTGTGAAGAGCTCTGTTCTAGAGAAACTTGCCGAGTCAGAATGGTTCACAGTGGTGGTGATAGGAACCAGACGTCCACCTCTAAAAGCTCCCTCACAGAAGGTTATCGCATAAGAGTTTGCTGCCTCATGTCTGAGACATTTTGTATGATGGTTTTGTGATAGTTTTGGCCTAAAATGCATTTTAATCCATGTGTGGTGGAGGAGAACATGCAGGGTGTTATAATCAAAATAGTCCTTAGTAGTAACAGTTTTCATTTTACCATCTTCAGCATTACAAATAAACCCAGAACACACGTGTAGGTTCACTGGTGGGTTTGGATAGTAAATGAAATGTCTACATTTGTGTTGTAGACATTGTGACTCCTGGTTCCTATCAGCACCACTGTAAAGAGATCTGGGTCAGTAAGTTTCTCTACAATGAATCATTTCACATCAAACCACTCTGAATGACTCTGTTTACATTTTAAGGACTGAAATATTCAGAAATTTTGAAAAATTGATGGAATTCCCCTTTAACCCCTGCCATACTAGTTCAGTAGACTGCAACTCAAAGCTTTACCACCAGCATACTGTATAATTTTGCAGTGTTCCATGGGCGAATGCAGGGTACCATTTGATGATTATAAATTCTTTCGTTTGTTTGCTTTCAGATCACACAGACGCAGATCAGAGCATGGAAGGACACACTCCGGTGAGCCACTTCAAAATGCTGCTACAGCCTAAACCAGTGTTTCCCAGCGCTGTTCCTGGAGGCCCACTGTCCTTCACATTTTAGTTTCTGTGCAGAGCAGGGAGACGTCCAGGACCAAGGCTGGGGAACAGTAATGGAAACTAATCAGTAGCTGTGTTTCCATCCACTTACTGCACAAACTGTACGCAATAAAAATTTTTTTTTTTTGCTGCTTAGCAGCTTCTTTCCATCAAACATGCTCTTTTAGCAATAAAAATGCATGAAAGACATTCTGTTTATTTTTTATTTGATCATTTTTCCATCTGAATGCGAGAGATGACTTCTCAGCCATACAGAGCTGTTTGAGCACTTTCCATTTAGAAAGGCTGTAATCTTTTCTGACCATCTCTGTCTGTTGGACCTGAGAAGTGACAGCATTTCTTTTAAAAACTGTTCTCCTCGCCAGTCCAGCTGTACTTCTCCACCATGCTGTTTGTGTTTCTTGTAAGAGGTACATGAGGGAAATCTGTCACATGGTGCTAAACTTATGCATTATTATAAAAAAATATAGATATTGATAAACGATTTTTCCACATTGACAGAATTTTTGAAGCATTAATTTTTCCCACATTAAAATCCTTTGGATGGAAACATTGCTAATGTCTGTGTTGAAACTTTGTCAGATTTGTCTGTGTTAGTCTGACATTTTGCTTTCCTGATTTTCAGGTTGCAGAAAACCCCCACGCAGAATATGGCCTCACAGAAAACATCCAGGTACTGGACAAAAAGCAAGAACATAAATGAACCACAATCCCTCAAAGCGTTTTGTGACCGGTGTTTAAATTGGCAGTACATTAATCCTATAAATCCAAAAGGCGTTTTCCACCGAGCAGTGCAGTACGGCATGGTACGGTTACTAATCTGAATCCAGAAGTGTCTTCATCCCGTTCGAGCACCTCTGTCCGTTTCCCTTTGCGGAACCATCTAATGTTAACAGTAAACAAACAACAGTAGCAAGAAATGAGGAGTTTCACGTTCTGATTTATCTTTTACTGCATTTGTTTTTATGTGAAGAGTCACAGACAGAGACTCTGGCTAACTTTTTATTTTTTAAACAGCTTTCATCAGACTCAAGTGACGTAACTGCCACGATTACATTTGACCAGTGGTGGACAGTGGCTATTAGAGCTGGGCCTTCAATTTGAGCCATGAATGTCAAATCTTGGTCAAAATCTGAAGGAAAAAAAAACACCTCTACAATAACGCATCGTACAAACCCACCTCTACTTCTGCTAGCATCCCTATGGTATTCTAGTAGTTTGTTAGCGCTAAGCTAACAGTGATTTGCATGAACCTTTTTTTTGGCCGTTCTAGATTGAACAGACGTTTGAAGCTTTTAAAAGCTGTTCCATGTTTTACCTAAAGCTTGTGACAGACATATTAGTATGTAGTTTACCTTGTAGCAGTTTCACAGTGACTCTTTCAGTAGAGTTCTGGTTTAGAGCCTCTGCAGCTGTTTTCCATTTCTAGCAACCTACTTAGAATTAGAATGCCGCTCGTATCTGTGGTAAGTGACTTATCTAGAACTTCCAGAAGGCCCCACAAAATTGGTCCCACTTGTTGATTGGTGCAGTCTGCTGTCACCTCATGATTATGCTGACCATGTCGTAACAAGAAGCAAGCATTCAAATGTAACGTCACATCGCATCACAAAGCCTTCAGGATGTCCACACTGGAAACGTCAGCATATGGACAGTGTATAACGGTTAACTGAACAATTAGTCTTAAGATTATTAACTGAACATTAAGCCTAAGCTTTAGTGGTTAAGTGCATTTTTAAATCGACAGTCTTCACATTAAAACAGACCAGCTGTTTGACTGCTGTGCGTCCTAACAAGCCCACACTTTCACTCATGCCTGCAGAGAATAGTGGAGAGCGAGAAGACAAATGCCGACAAAGTCACCAAACAGAAAGTGGATCTACAGACCCTACAGACTCTCCCCACGCGAGCGTATTTGGATCAGACGGTGGTGCCAATTCTTCTCCAAGGCCTGTCCGTGCTGGCCAAGGAACGGTAGGCTTCATCGCGCCTTAACGACTGCAAGCTATAAAAAGAAAATGATTGCAGTGTTGTGCGCACACCATAAATTGATGGATTAAGTTAGATTAGATTACATCTACTTGCATTACACTCTTTAAAAAAGGGTCCCCAGAACTGTTCTTTAATGCAATACCAGAGAAGAACCACTTCAAGACCTTGTTAGTGGATGGTTCTTGAAAGAACCATTGAGATGTAAGTGTGAAGAACCTTTTAAAGGGGCTTTCCGTTATAAATGTTTTTGTGCAGTGTTCTGTAGCGCAACATTATGTCCCTCAGCTTAAATTTAATTTTATAGATTTACATTTTTCATTTTGACCGACGTGTCCCTTTTAAAGAGCTTCCACATAATGTAAAGATTCTGCTGTAGTTAAAGATTTTTTCCTAGATCCAAGCAAAGAACAATTTAGGGACTTTTATTTTTATATTCCTGCTGTAGGAGCAAAACCTCTTACCTTTTACCTTTTTGACATGATTTGAAAATGCCTGTTGCCCTTTACATTGTGTGCGAATTTCATGATGAATGGACCGAAAGAAACGGCCCAAAATTACTTGACTTACTTTAAAAGCACAGTAGGTTTTTTCCTTCCCCTGTAAAGTTATTTTGGAGGTTTTGTTCCGACAGCAGCGATAAGTATAAATGTAATTAATGTTTATTGGTTTTATTTAAGAAGTGAAAGCATTACACATTAAGCATTGCTCAAACATTTAGTTCATTCACAGAACAATCTATACAACTAAATCGCATATTCCTTTCCTTTGTTTATCGTTTGTCCTCTTTTCTTTCCTAAAGGCCTCCAAATCCAATCGAGTTTTTAGCGACGTTCCTATTGAAGAACAAGTCGCAGTTTGAGGATCGAAATTAAGCCAAGGAATAAGCAAAGCTGCATCCACAGCAGCGGAAGAGTTTCCTTTTCAATAGAAACTTAAGTGTCGCACTCATGAAGCTGTTTGCTATGTGGTAGTTTTTTTCTTTTTTTTTTTTTAAACTCAAATAAAAACATTGCAGGAGAAACGAGTATTTTGTATAGTCATTATTTAAACAAGACACTACACAAAGCCTTGCTTTAATTTTTTTTTCAGTTTATTGTCCAGTTTGTTTACAATTTACACTTATTTCTTCCAGAACAGTAGAATTTACATGACTAAAAAACCAAAAAAAAAAAACCACCGGTGAGGGATTCTCCTGTCGTATGTGACCATACAAAATCAATTAAAACTTTACACCATAATTTATAAAATATATATTTCCTCTTCAGTATAAAGATTACACTCTCAGCATATGCAAAAAACTTTCCGTTCAGCAGTAGATCAGTTTAAGACTCTCACAGCTGCCTTCATTTTTGTGGTTGTACTTTCTTTTCAGGGCAGAATGATCCGACAGCCGTTGAGTTAACGGCCAGTGGAAAGGAAGAACTCGGCCGATCTGGGGTTCTTCAGAATTTTACAGGAATCAAATCCATTTTTGTGAGGGTTAGTATAACACAGTCGTATGCAAAAGTTTCAACACCCCTGGTCAGTTATGTTTTGCTGATTTTCTAAATGAAAATAAGTTTATCATTTACGGGGAACCAAATTGAATATAAAATTTTTCTGCAAATAATAGTTCATAATTTCTATTTACTTAACAAAAAAAACAAAACAAAATGTACTGTGCTATAACTTTTGCACAGGCCACATTTTATTTCCAATATTCAAAATTCAGAAACGTACTCACTTTAGTAAATTATTCAAGCATAAAATTTGACCAAACTTTTGCACACGATTGTAGCTTGATTTTGGGTTAAATGATTCTCACTAATGTTAAATCTAAGAAATGGTTTCACACAAAGATTATAAGGCTAAATCAAATGGTCAGATTACTTTGTCATGCGTGGTTTACAAAGTCATAATTGCTAAAACGTAACACCGTAAATAGATTAACAGAGCACCATTTACAAGAATATAGGCCTTTGATATTAACTGTCAAATTAACACAGCTAATATCTTGTAATGCAAAACCTAGAATACAACAATTTTGCTGTCTACAGTACCTCCGAAATGACAGCCACCGTCTGGCAAGAACATTTATTTTTTCCAGATAAGACGCTACATGAGCTTAAGAACATGGTTCATTCTGTGGTGCTGAATACATTTTATATTACTGGGGGTTGATGCTTTGGAATAACTGTTTCTTTGCAAGTTTTTCAAAGACAAGAAGGCAACAAAGAGTATTTAGGGAAACCCAGCCCACATCTGAACACCGTATCTAGCGCCAGAGAAGTCAGTCAAGGCAACTTCTGACCTGGAGCAAATGCAGCAAATGTCATAATAAGAGTGCTGATCTAGGATCAGTTTTGGCCTCACACATCCGACTGAACCAGCATGTTCTGCCCACAGACGTGTTCTAGCTGTAGCAACTGTTGTCATTATGTTGGACAAGCTTTACAGAACATTAGCGAACATAGTAGAGACACACCGACACGGGAATTCTGGGTCGATGTCGATATCTGATATTTTTCTGTACATATTCGTCAATGTCAGTTGTCATTTGTCACAAAATGTAAATATTCAGTCTAAATTCATGTTATCGTTATGGAGAAATGCAGTAATTTCTATAGGAATTACAAATGCAGTAAAATGAAAAGTAAATTATTTTCCACAATAGATTAAATGTGTCATCAAATATTGGTTTGAATTATTTCTCAACTCTAATCATCCAATGCAGGTCTTTCTTTTATATCTGCCAATATTAGGGCTGAATATTTAATCATATTTTTTATCACAATCGCAGTTTGGAGAAGTGCAATTTTTAAGCGCAGCAGTTTTAATTATAAACTCTATTATTCAGCATTAAGTTTTAAGGGGGGGAATTTAATCTAACAACATGGAGCTAAAATGGATTTGTTGGTCTTCATGGAGCTTAATTTATAGTAAATAATCACATTTAATTCACCTGGCCCACTTTGTTTAGCCCTAGCCGATATTATTCTGAAACAACTGGATATCCCTAAATAATAGTATAACATTTTCTGCTCCATTAGCTTGAATGGGATGTTTGCTGACATTCTGTAAAGCTTTTCCCACCTAGCAACAGTTGCTAAGAATAGTTCATCACACTTTCTGTAAGACATCTGATACATATGACCCAAGATTTCAACGCCAGACGTCGTCTACCACAGATACTGCGTTTTCTTCATATCTGACCAGCAGTGCAGAGTTGACTGGCTGTTTGACCCGTGCGGCTGTCATCAGTTAGCTTATCCAGGTGCGTCATCAACCAGCCTGCTCTCAAACACCCTATCGTCTTAGATAAGATCAAAGCCATCTCAGATACGAGGATAAATAAAAGACATTTTTAATTTTTCTCACTGAAATATAGTACACCAAGGTCACTGGTGCGCACCTATGGCTTCCCAGCAGGCAGTACAACCCTCCACGTCACCACTCTGGAGCCTTGGTCAGATATAGTACTGATGAGCTGCCAGGTTGTCCATGAACGGCCGCACCAGGTTGTCCGTGGAGAAGTAGAAGACCAGTCCGAATGTTATGGAGATCGGCAGAGCCGGCAAAGCTTTTTTAAAGATGGCCAGTAACAGCAGAGTGAGGCAGAGACCCTACAAAGACAAAAAGGAGTGCGGTGTAAGCAGAACTGTCTCAAGAGCCTTAAAGAAATCTTCATTAATAATGCTGATGTGGCTACCTATGAATAAAACTATGATGCATTACGCTAAGTGACCCCGATTAAGCTTTCATCCCAGATAGCAAGTGGACAGCGGGCCACTGTTGGCCCACTAAACGAAAAGCCACTTTTCATCGTTATCCTTTGCCAATTAGTTAAATCATTTTAACTGTAATGTAATAAATATAGTCGGTTATACAGCTGTAACCAATCCAGCACAACATATTCAACCAAATTGTTTTATATAAGGCCTAGTCATTCATTTTTTTCTGTCTAATTTTTATAATTGTCAGTTTATTTTCCAAAATAAAAGCCTGTGTGCATTTAAATTCTGCCTGAGGAGATTAAAAGCTAGCCATACCTTGTAATAATCTGGGTGGTCCGAGTGTGGACCAGTACTGGCGTAGTCAGCAGGGTGCTAAGCCACGGACCGATACATGCTTGCTATCTGCAGTTCCTTTAGAGGCCCATCATTTTATTAAGAAAACTTAAATCTATGTTGCTAAATATGAATTAAAATATGGTCTATTATGCTAACTGGCTCCTACTAGCTTCTGTTTACTCTCAGCAATGTTAGCAGTTCTGAGTCAACCATTTATCTGAGCATTCCACTTTATCTTCCTCTAATATTAAAACTAGCATATTTCACTCTAGAGATAACAGGCATTAAACGCCTGCTTTATCTTCAAGGCTTGATTTCAAGTTCTGCAAACAAAGTATACACAGAGATGGAATCAACACTGCAACTCCAAATATGTGGTTATTATATGCAGCTATCAGCTAATGCCTTTTAGGGAAGAAGTGCTTTCATGGAAATATTACCACAAAATATTTAACCTAACAACTACAACACTTAGTTACAGCACAAGGAGTAAAGGAGTACACCTTAAAATAGGGGTTATGGAATAGGAAGCTAAATTTTGGCTAAACTCAGGGTTAACCAGGAGTCTATTATTACATGTAGTCTGTCATTTTCCAGTGAATTATAAAGGGCTTGATGCCGTAGCCATCCGGGGTCGGAGGTCCAAGAGAGCATAACTTTCCTCTCTCTCTCTGACTGGGTAGGATGGTCCCCGCTCTCTCCCCATCACTCAGCGTGATGCTAACAGAATCTGTAGTTAGTGCTCTCCTCCAAGCGTGTTGTGGTCTCCATGAACAGCATAAAAGATGTGGTGATACTTCACATATTTTAAAGGGGGGGCGTGCTCACCCTCACAGCTTGGTAGCATTGTGTGATGGGGGAAATACCCCCTAGAGGGTAGCTAGAGGGTGGGAATCTGCCATGACTAAATTGTAATTAAAATAAACATTTGTCATAAACTCAAATCTGTTTAAAGTGTAAAAACTCTCTTTGGGTGTCTTAAAGTGATGGTTTGGCAAAATATCACATTGTCACAATATCCTCTTTAAATGTAGCCAAGACAATTAATGGAACCTTGAAATAATGGAAGTCGGTCTTCACAGATCGCAGTAAGGCCAAATCCCATTTCTTTTTTTTTACTCCTACCCCTTGTTTTTCAAGTGTCACTTTGCCCCTTGGAACTGAGTTAGAAGGAGTAGTGATTAAAATCTTCCCCTACAAAATAGGACCCTCAAATAAAAAAGAGCAGTACCTCACAGCTGTGCTCTGGCAGTGATAACGTTAGTGGTAAAGTTCAGCGACGTTGCTGCTGGTCTTTCGTTAAATTTAGGGCATCATAACAGGCCTTCAAGGGGGGGAGTGGGTGCGACAGTTATTATCGCCAATCCCTAAATCTTCAGTGATGTGAAGCTGAAGTCAGCTATTGGCTAACTTGTTCGGATTTTTCCGTTCCACCTTAAATGATGCAGCAGTTACATTCTGGCGCCTCAGGCCTCAGAACTGCTGCACCATTTAAGGTGGAATGGGAAATTTAGCAAGCTAGCTACCGAGACATTAGCATACTACTAGTGATTTTTTATGTTTGTTATGAAGAAAACGACCATAATACACTGAAACGACATTAAACTAAGACAATACAGTGGTTATCGAATTTTTAATGGAAAAAATATTCGCATTTGTGTGTTTCCTTGATCATTTATGCAGCTAACTCTCTGTTTGGAGTGTCTCTGAAAAACCTCAGTGTGGAGGGCCATGTAGACCTAACACTTCACCCTACCCTAGACGTGAATGCGCCAAATGGAGGGGTAAGGGCTAAGTAGTAGGAGCAAAGGGGGAAATGGGACTGGGCCTAAGTCATACAGTGTCATACACTGTAGAACAGCGTGAATGGAGACTTCTCCCACACAGGTATGACAGAACAGCTTGAACATCTGAGCTGGTAGATCACTCACAATGAGGATGGCTACGAAGCAGGCCAGCGTAGTGTTCCAGTCTCCTCCTGTGGCTGCGGCCTTCCCCACTAGAACACTGTAGAAGATGAAGTCTCCCAGCCCCAGCTTCACTCCCCCTACACAGAGACAGTCAGTTAGTCAGCTGCTTGTGTAACTAATGCTAGACACTCTGTGACTAATGCCTCCCACTATTAAAAAACTAACACTGTCACAAGAACACCTCCTAAACAGCAACTCTGCCAGACAAAATAGCAGAGCTTTCTATTGCTTTTGGACAAATAGCACAAAATGTAACAGGTTTTAGGTGTTCAGTGTTTATTTTGGGCAGTTGACATAAAAACACAGATCAAAAACTGATGAGTGCTGGTTGTGAATCTTTTATTATTGTTTTCTCATTACCAAGAACTTGAATAATTGTAGTATTAAAGTAAATGTGCATTAAAATGTGCAGAAGTGTGTTCTCTGTATAAAATCTTTCTCTTATAAAATCTATAAGACATGTAATTCGACCAGGGGCGTCCAACATTTTTGCAAACAACTGTATATAGTTTGTGGATTATATTTCCATCTTCACCAATTTGAGTCAAAAAGCAGTCAACTTTATTTCTACAGCTTGATCAGCACTGATTCTAGATCAGCACTCTTTTCTGAAAACAGTGTGAAGTTGACAGATTTGTTGTGCTGTCAGGTTTACTGCGATGGAAACCACTTACTGTCTTCCTCCAGCTCCTCTTCCACTGAGTGACTTCTGTTCTGCCCACGGACTGTCGGTCTCTGAGGCTCCGCCTCTTCCCCTTCCACAGCTCTGTCTTCATTATGATGTGCTTCTTCATCTGAGGCAAAAGAAATACTTTAAATACCCAGACAGGCCAAAACACACACTCTAAATAAGTAAAGGATAACAAATGGTTCTTAGCTTTGAGGTATGGTTCTAGGGAAAAGCCTTTAATTGGCCTCACGCTATACACGCCCATATTAATCAGTTTTAACTCTTAGAAGTCCCTTAAATTAGTGTTGTGAACCCACATGCATCTCCACTTCTTCATATAGCCTCTCACCACATGATCAGAAAGCCAGAAACAGTCAAGACAGAAAGTCTTATGTCTTTTTATATCATCTACATACATTTATTAAAGCAATAAAAAGGACAATACAGACATTTGTATTGTGTTAAACAGAAATCGCTTTCGTCTCACAGCACACAAGCGTCCGGTGTGAAATGGGCTTAAGTCGCTCTGAATAAAAGTATCTGCCAAAAGCTGTAAATGTAATCAAGAGCCACATTTCACAGTTCCATTATAATTAAGGCTTTTCTCTTCTTGTTATGACTAGAGATATTCTCAGACAGTCATGGTGCCATAATGACTGGAATATCGATAACGGAGTTTGACACACTGACCTGTACTCCGGTCAGCGTTATCAGTGGCTTGAGATGGACTGGCCATCCCTACCATCCAGACCATTGCAGCTGAGAGAGAGAGAGAGAGAGAGAGAGAGAGAGAGAGAGATGTTAACTTTACAGTAAACAACAACTAGTGTATAGTAACTGCATAAACCAAGTTATTATTATTATTATTATTATTATTATTAAGCAATATTATAATAGAGATAATACAATGTTTCACAAAAACAATAAAGAATAAGTACTTGAGGTTTGTAAATGAAAAAGAAGACAATAAATACATTAAGCTTAATTATATCCAGTGTTCCCTAAAAAGGATAGAGTCTTTCTGACTTGAATATTTTTACACTTCCAGAGATCCAGAGTGCTCAAACAGATACTTACTTTACTTAAGTTTACTTAATAAAATGAACTTTAAGTATACTTTTTTGTAAGGGTGATCTGGTTGAGCTGAACCTGAATGGGTTGTAATGGACGTGAACCCATCGTTACCCGTCAGGATGAGTGCGTGGACTGTAATGTAACTCACAGGAGTAGATGAGTGCAGGGAAGATGGGCTCGTTCCTTTCCTGCGCCGTTTCCACCAGCATCCTCAGCGGACCCTTGGGGCACAGCACGGCTATCAAATCTGCAGGAAAGATCACAGCGGACACTTTTAGATGAAGACTAGTTCTTGACTTAAAAAATGATTTTGAACTGAGAATCAGTGACAGTCAGTGAAATGAAGAGCTTATTTTCTGCATGAAGGTTAATCTGAAGTAAAATTAGCACTGGAAGCCATGGGGCCATTTTTCAGAGTGTGATTAAGACATTTCGGGCTGGTTCCCTGAACATGGATTAAGCTCTATCTTGGACCTGACCGCAGTGCCAGTAGTGCATCACCATTGGAAATTCCTCTTAGTCCGTGTGTGGGCTTGGAAACTGGTTGTGGATTTCTGCTCATCCAGTGTTTCTTTTGAAATCAAAGGTAATAACAACATTTTGTCCACTTTTGCTGCAGTAACAGCCTCTACTCATCTGGGAAGGCTTTACACTAAATGTTGGAACATTGCTGTGAGGATTTGATTGCAAGCTACCACATCAGCATTAGTGAGATTAAACGATTAAAAGTATTAAAAAAAACGATTAAAAGTTATTGCTCTACTGCTTCACAGCCCAAGGCTGGGGGTCTTTAAACCCCTCTAGCAGAGCTTGAAATATCTGTCCGAACCTGATGGGACTCGACTGCTCATGTTGGGCTCAGTCGGGTTCAGGCCGGCTAACGTTCGGGATGTTGTCCGAAAGTACTATTACTTGACGAATAAGTTAAAGTGGAATTTAAATGTAAATTCGGACAGCTGATTATTTTATCTTTTTTATTTATTTTTATTTTATTCATCCATGATCTAATGATGGCTGTTACTGTTGCTCTGCTGTAATTTAACTGGCACTCTGGCCGATGATGGGCTGGTTCTGGTCAGTTTCAAGCAGAATTTTGTTGGGTTCAGACTTAGAAAGAAGATTCTTGGGCTGTATTTGGGTTTGGACCAAAATTTCAGGCCCAATAAAAGCTCCAACATGTTTTGGCTTTGGACACGGTTACCTTAAATGCATGTTTTTTGGGCATGCTGACCTTAGGGTTCATGTGCTCCACAGCGTCCCACTCTATTGGTCAATGCTTTTCTATAGAGATTATACAAGCTGCGTGCATATGCACCACTAAATTCCTGCATCAGCACCTTAAAGTAGCTGAATTCCCTCATTAGAAGGGGTGTCTTTATATAATGTAATACACTGGATTTCTGATTGAGAAGAACTGTTAACAGCTAATAGAGTCTCAGACTGGGAAGATGACATTTCATCCCCTACAGGATGTGCTAAATATGTACGACTAAACAAACTCGCTATTAATGAAAAACAAGTGCAAATGCTGAAAAGAGGAAGCCAACAAATGAAAAAGAAACCAAGAACTAGAAGCACATATACACCACAATCGCAAACTGGCTACCTTCTGAGAACGAAGTGTCTAATGCCCAATTCAACAGTTCCAAAATGTCAACTGTACAGTACAACAAAAGATCTTAGTAACATCTGTTACTTGAAAGGTTTGCTTTGCAGCATTTCTATTGGTCCATTCATCATTAAATGTTCATATAACGATAATTTGATGGTTTACTGAGGACAAAAATTTAAATAATCAAAAGCGTTTATCCCAGGGCTGCCCAAAGTGTGCCCCAATTATAGAACATATATCATGATAAACACATTAAAATCTCCAAAAGCATCTCAAACTAGGCTACAAACATGGAGTTACATGTAGAAGCGATTAGTTTCTCGTGTGGTGCTGCATCTCTAAAATCAGCTCAAACTGAATTTTACAGAGATCCGAGCTGTGAGTAAAGGAGTTAAAAGTTTTAGGTCTTAAATGAAGCAGTGCAACTCTGTTCTCCTTTCATGTTTCCAAAGTGGAAAGCATCCAGTAAGATGCCACAGTTTACCCGTTCTCCCAACGCATTGAACTTGGTGAAATTCCATTAAAAAAGCGCTTCGCGTCTGGTGTGTATAGTTTTGAAGCACAAAAAAGAGACTGATACCGATATCCTTGTGCATCCCTACATTACATTTTGTTTCCCAAGACAAAAAAGTTGGCACCCCTGGTTTAACCAATGCTGAGACATATGTTCTCCAGCCTCACCGTAGACAGAGATGGCCCCTAGTATGACCCAGGCTGACCACTCTGGTAGGTATTTGATGAAGACGAGGGCCATCAGAGCGCTGATGACGATGAGGTAAGCCTGCTGAAGCTGTAGAGGACCCTTCCAGTGGATACAAATCATCCCCACCGCTCCAAAGTTCCAGATAATCATCGCCACCGTCGGATAATCCATCGCCACATTATACGTCTTAAACACCTCCCTGAAGACAGAGGGTTAGAAGCTGCAGTTACTGGCAGTGAAAACAACAAAAGCAAGGTGTAATTTTATATAAATGCTTTCTTACTCGTAACTTAGAAAAACTGTGTGGAAAGAGCAGCCTGTAACTTTCTATTAATAAGGTCATTTGTGTGTAAGTACAACCCCATTTCCAAAAAAGTTGGGATGTAAATGTAAATGAAAACAAAATGCAATGATGTGCAAATCATTTAAACCCTATATTTAATTGAAAATAATACAAAGACAACATATCAAATGTTGAAACTGAGATATGCCCATTTTGAATTTGATGCCAACAACACGTTCCTAAAAAGTTGGGACGGGGGCAACAAACGGCTGGTAAAGTTGTGTAATGCCAAAAAAAATAAAAAAAACACCTGGTGGTTAATCCCAACTTTTTTGGAAATGGGGTTGCAGAAGAAGAGATAGTTTATTATGATTTAAAGTCGAAGAGAGTTAAGAGTAGTCTTGTTAGGTGGAAATATTAACTCTACAGTTTCTAAAATGCTGAATAAAACATGCAGAAGCACTAAAAGGATAATTATCACATTTGCACTGTCTTATTTAGGCTCACTACTGAGTAATATAAATTGCATTTAAAATAGCTTTGTTCGTAGATTAAAGTAATTGTCTATAGGATGTTACTCTGGAGGATCATGGGGGAATATGCAATACATTTCATTTAAAAATAAAGGCTTTACAAAGACTTAAGTTCCCAGATGAAGTTTCTTTTAGCACAGCGATCCGCCTTTAAAATCTGTAAGAACTGTGAACAAATTCTTTGCGAATGTGGCTCAAGAGCATGAAAACGACATCACAGCATCGTAAATAAAACATAACACAATATATATTTTAATAACATTAAAGGTCAAAATCAGTACTGAATCCACTTTTTAGTTCCTATGAAGCTACAATAGAACTTCCTGTTATATTAGTTACACAAAAGAAGCAAACACTCCACAGCGTGTAACCAGAAGCTGCAATACCCGCCACTCTATTATTACAGTTTATTTCTCTATAAAGCCCACAGAGAAGGGCGTGACTCACCCCAGATACATGTAACTGAACCAGAACAGCAGCATTAGAGACGACAAGATCAGCCAGCCATGGATAAACTGGTAAAAGAATAAACAGTATGATTACAAACATTCCTGTCATATAAAAATATTAAACATATGACTCTGATATTCAACATCAAGGCATTAAATCTAGGGGAGCACAAATTACAGTGGCCAATATATTAATCACATATAGAGAAAATGAATTATCATCATCATCAATCCCAGGGCTGAACGATTTGGGGAAAATATCTAATTGTGATTTTTCTGATCAATATTGCAATTTAAATGGGGGATTCACTGATTTTACAACATCTCTACATAATTGATGTAAAGAAAGTCATTCAGTGTGGTTTGATGTGAAATTTGGATTAGGAACCAGGCGTCTGAAGAGTTTAAAGGCTTTCCCTCACAGAAAGTTATTACATGAAACGGTTACAAATACACTACCTGAGACTGTATTTTCATCGCAATACCTTTGTGATAAAATTGTGAACTAAAACAGTTTTAAAGGCATGTAACATGTTCGTGCTGTGGAGGTGCATGCAGGGTGATATAAGGCAAAATAGTACAGAAACAAAACGTTTTTTAGATTGATGGTTATTTTACCATCATCAACATTGTTTAACAAAAAAGTTAGAAGGCTAATAAATCTACCATAATGGGCAAATTTTATTTTATTCCTGTTGTTAAAGCCTGGTGCAGCTTGAATAAGCTTCTTTCACCTCCGAACAGATGGGTGGCATGCACACTCGTTTACCATCAGAAATAAATGTAACAGAGAGCATACCGGCTATCAGTCCAGACCATCAGGAAACTTACTTGGACTGCACCTGGACTTAAAACTGATTGTTGCCTCAAGTCAGATAAGAATAGAGTCTTGACCGCTGTGCTCGTCTCCAAAGAGTCTGGTATACAGAGTTTGCAGCTGCATGCTGCTAGTGATAAGCTAGAACTTAGACTGATAAACAAATGTTTCTCCATCTTCCCCCCTTTTCCCTTTCCTAAATCTTTCCCCTCTTGACATCGGACAGCCGGGATGCTACAAAAGCTTACACCGTTTTATTTTTGTTGCTGTTGTCACTGCATCAGTGAACCACGCAGCACACGAAACCTAGATTTTACCTGTCAGGATGCTTTATTAACTAACAGTGTACAAACGGTGGCTCTACAAGTGCTGCTGTCGGTTGTGTGACGTCAACTAAATACCAGAGAACATTCTAGAACAATGTGAATGGGGGGAGACATTCTAGAACAGCGTGAATGGTGGGGGAGACACTCTAGAACAGAGAAAGGGGGTGGGCATTCTAGAACAGTGTGAGGGGTGAGGGAGACATTGTAGAACAGCGTGAATGGGGGGAGACATTCTAGAACAGTGTGAATTGTGGGAGACATTCTAGAACAGCTTGAATGGGGGAGACATTCCAGAACAGTGTGAATGTGGGGGGACATTCTAGAACAATGTAAATGAGCAGAGGCATTCTAGAACAGCATGAGCAGTGGAGAACATTCTAGAACAGCGTGGACTGGGAGGAAATTCTAGAACAGTGTGAACAGGGGAGAACGTTCTAGAACAATGTGAACATGGGGGAGACATTCTAGAACAACATTAATGGGTGGAGACATTCTAGAACAGCGTGAGCAGGGGAAGAACATTCTAGAACAGTGTGAAATGTGGGAGGACATTCTAGAACAGCGTGAGCAGGGGGAGGACATTCTAGAACAATGTGAATGTGGGAGGACATTCTAGAACAGCGTGAGTAGGGGGGGGACATTCTAGAATCATGTGAATGTGGGAAGACACTCTAGAACAGTGTGAAAAGGGGAATAACATTCTAGAACAGTGTGAAAGGGGAATGACATTCTAGAACAGTGTGAACAGGGGGAGAACATTCTAGAACAGTGTGAACAGGGGGAGAACATTCTAGAATCAGCACCAACCAAACAAGACATCTGATCTGGACTGCGATTCTAGATGATTTCTATGAATAAATTATATCATGATCACATTTTATTCATATAAATCATGCGTGTTTCTCCAACCAACAAGAGCTTGTTGGATTCTCAAAGAAGATTTTTTACCTTATAGCAACGATACTTGTACAACACCACCAGAAATATGGTCATGACCACAATCACGCTGATCATGATAATGGTGTTGAGCACAGAGTTCAACAACCTCTGGCCCACAGAGTTGGTGTCCTCTGTGAATGGAGTGTAGATCCTAAAAAAAAGGACAAACAGTCATTTACGTGAATATCTGAGCCAAATGTGAGAATAAATAAAGAAGACTGCTGAAAAGTAGTGCTCGTTATGCTGCAAACCCCCCAAAACACAACCTAACCTTCTTAATAATGTAATGATTACGTTTTTGCAATATATCATAAATCAACAAACAAAAACAACAATATAATTAAGTTAAGAGGTGTTTCTTTAACTTACAGCTGCTGGCCGTTTTTCTCGGTGTAGAAGCTGACAGACTTGATGGTCGCCACGACAACCACCATACAGAGCGTGACCGGGACGAAGAGCATGATAACGTGTTTGGCACCATACTTCAGCGTCAGCTCCTCATCCTCACCGTCCGGGACGTGGCCAGGGTCTCGCCCCTCTGCCGCGGCAGTGCCCCCGTGGGTAACACTCCCCGCCTCAGAGTCTGAGTTAGCAGGCCGGCGCTGAGATAAGACGATGAAGATGATGAGGACGAGCACAAAATAGTGATGAAGATGAAGAGTACAGTTATGCATACTACACAGCTATGCATGTACACAGATGTACAATTAAGGGACTAGTTTAGCCAATTCACAATTTTCCCTTCAAGTCAGCCAAGACATGTTTGTATGTACACTGAATTGGCTAAATTATTTGGTAAAAAATGTTTTATTGTCTTTTGGCATACATATCGGTACATATGTTATCATAAAATCATAGAACATAACCATTCCAACTAGTCTTAGCCATCTTGAAGGGAATTTGTCTTCTGTAATTTTTTATAGATAGCAATAAGTCATTACATATAAATAAACTTACTGATTTGGTTTAAGAGTACTTAACAACTCAACACAGTTTGAGGCAAGTTTGTAATTCAGTCATGCAGTTAGCACAACGCTAACTGGTCTACATAAGCTTCTATTACTTTTAAGCTGCAGACCTCAATTCCAAGAAAGTTGGCACAGTATGTTAAAGAAAAACAGTGATCTATAAATCCACTTCGACCTATATTTAAAAAAAAAAAAACAGTACAAAGACAAGATATTTAATATTTTATCTTATCACATTCTCTTTTTTTGTACATATATGTTCATTCATAAGCTGACACCTGCAATACTTTCCAAAAAATATTAAACAGGGCTATTTAAAACTAAGAATACTGTGAAATGATCAAAAAACATCAATGCAATCATTCAAATCATAGATTTTAGTTATTTTACGATCTGCAGTGCATAATATCATTAAGACTCAGGGAATCCAGAAGATTCTCTGTACATAACACACAATAGCGAAAACCACTCCTGAATGCACATGACCTTCGACCCCTCAGACACTGTACTAAAAGTTATGGGCTCGGGAATACTTTGACAAACTGCTGTCAATAAACACTGCCCGTCGCTGTATCAACAAACGCAAGTTGAGACTGTACTACGCACAGTGGAAGTCATATCAACAACTTCCAGAAACGCTGCCGACTTCTCTGGGCTCAAGCTCATCTGTAATGGACTGATGCACAGTGGAAACATGTACTGTAGTCTAACAAGTCAACTTTCAGACTGTTTCTGGAAATAACGGACATTGTGTTCTCCCAGTCAGACAAGAAGAAGACCATCCAGACTGTTACCAGTACAAAGTTTAAAAGCCACGGTCTGTCATGGTAAGGGGTGGTATTAGTGGCACACACTTAATGCTTACTGAAAATATGTGGCACACTATGAAGCGCAAATAAGACAATGAAGGCTTTTATACTGTTACGCAGCTAAAGACTTTTATAACAGAAGAATAGAAAAAAAAAATCTGCTTTCAAATTGGACCAATTGGTGTCTTAGGTCCCCAAACGATTATTAAGTGCTGTTAAGTCCTTAAGTCCTTTTTTCCTGCTGCTGTTAGGCTGTACAACCAGCACTGCTCCCAGTAGAACCCTCCTCCACCCCCATTAGACCTCACACACCTACAGAACATAGACTGTGGAATTCGTCACCAATACCTGTGTGCAATATAATCAATATTATGTGCAATATTTTTAAAATATCTCTTTAGTGTAAAGATCTTTTGCGTTTCTATTTATAACGTTTATATTGTTAACTCCTCACTGTCCCATGTGTAACATAAATCAGTACCTCATGTGCAAAACTCTATGTGAAATTTGGGCAAAATAACCTTACGGTGTAAATATTAGCTTTTATTTATTTATAATCCTTTATATTGTTAATTTTTTTGAAGGACAGAATTTATATTTTTTATCTTATTTTTTAAAAACCTTGTTAAGTAGTTAACAAGGTTAATTACTTGCTTGTTAATTCTCTTCTTGTTACTTCTTATATTTTCTTGAATGCCTTGCTCTCCCTTTGCTGCTGTAACACAGAGTTTCCCCATAGTGGGACTAATAAAGGATTGTCTTATCTTATCTTAACCTATTCGACCCCTTTGACACCACCGATGGTTCCAAAAAGCACTTCGTCATATTCCTCATAACTTTCATATTTCATAAGCTACATTCAGAAGGTGGGGGTCGTATGAGAGCTGTAACTGTCTTCTTTCCAGTCAAATAGATGGGTGATGTAATTTTAAACCCTTATAATAAAAGAAGCTGAACTCACAATTTTTTTTTCTACTGAAAGTCGACCCATTTTTCCACAAATCTGGGCTATAAACTATAAACAGATGGCGTCTCTTCAGTGATCTGCTCTGTAAAAATTATTTTTATGAAAAAATTCAAACAGGGTCTGAGATTTTTGGCTTTCAGCAGTGAATTGTAAGCATATAGTAATATGTGTGATCATAAAACACATTTTCTGTTTTTGAGGGAAGGTTTTACAAAAAAATCTGGGGTAAGGGGGGAAATAATGTACACTCAATTTTTTTGCTCAACTACCCTTTTAGAATTATGCATATTGTGTATAGACATAACAGTACAGTGGCACATACTATGTACCAGCATTTAGTGCAAATGTGTATGCTGTATTTTGCACAGTGCATTCACAGATGTAACTACAGTACATACAGCGATGTACTATGCAGCTACACTGACATATACTATCTTAGTATCAGTATCAAGATATTTCTGGCATTATAAACACTGAAATACTGCATAAAGACAGGCTTCATATCTCAGAATGAACATGCTGATCTCATATTAGCCCCTCCTACTCTTTCAACTGTATGAGGATGTGAAAGCCAATTCATATGACCACAATCACAAGGGCAGAGCGAGCTGCCTCAAGTGCATAAGGCCTGTGGAGCCAGCTGCGGCTTCCAGAGGTGGAAACTATACAGCTCTACATCCACTTATTAGGCTACATAGTCAGTCATTGTTTAACAGTATGGGCAGCATAACATCTTCAAAATCACACTTCTCGACTTACTACTGCTCACTAATGTACTGACGAATCACTGAGACCAGTCACGTGCATAGAGCAGATTTCCATTAAAGATATTTTAATGGGAAAAAAAGTCTTAACATTTTGACAAGATTAACAAGATTAGCTGGTCTGAAAGTCGGACTTTAGCACACGAAAGGGCTGCTGATCCTTCAGATTTTCCAAAAAACTACAGTGGTAACATTTCTGACAGGACAAATTATGTAAATATGCAAAAGTGCATACATTTACAGTCACGTGACACAATTTTCATGATCTGTCTCTCCCACAATAAACCAAACGTTTTAGCCGGAAGCATTCTGGGAAACAGCTTCCAAGAAGCCTTTATCTCTGTACATCCTCATTTGCCTAAAGCACATTAGAAGGGCAGCTTTTTGCATCATGAGAGCAGCTGCTTCTGCACCACAGTCTGCTGGAAAATTCTGGTAACTGTGCTGGTCAGCTGAGACCAGAATTCCAACAACGGTTTTCTGTTGATTCTGTTCCTTTTTTGTCATTCTTGTCAGAAAGGAAACCAAACTAAAGAAAACGTCTACATAGTTTGTGATCCTTTTGTGTTCTGGACAGTGCAGTACTGTGGCTTTTGTATCAGACATTCACTGGATATCTGACTTTCTCTCCTTGTTTGCTCATGAAATAAACATCCAAACCTACATTTTCACACTCCTGAAGTACAGAGAAGAAACCACAACCAAATATATTTTAAATAATAATAATAATAAAAATAAATAAATAAATAACCTTTAAATCTCAGTGAACATAATGGTCCGGAATGAAGGAACGTACTGCTGTGTAATGAGCCGCTGTGCTATATGTCATTTTATACAACAGTTAGTTTCGGCCACGCAAGCTGACTGGTTGAGAGGCGTTCTAACTGTGCTGTTCTTTCACCATAACATCACGTTTTTTTCACGAACACTGTATCACTCCTCTGAGACGGTGTTGCTAAGCAACGACTTTGACAGCTGTTGGAGACGCTCAAGCCATTTGAACGTTTTTACTTCTTACTTTGCCACAAACAGAAAATGGACACTTTTAAGATCACATTTGACCGACAGCCAATTTGGTCAGACTCTGAAGATGAGACGACACTAAATTCCCAAACTGTCATCACCACTGAGCAGCTTTTCAGTCGGCAGCTGTGACAGAAGAACAGCTAAACGACCTGGAATCAGCCAGAAATGAACCCAATACCATTCGCCAAACAAAATGGGCTGTAAGATGCTTTACAGACTGGCTGGAACAAAACAACATTAATACTGATCTGGCAAAAAATGACAAGACTGAGCTAAACCTGATATTGCGGCAGTTTTATGGCCCAGTCCACGCTTCAGAAGGCGAGGTTTACAGCAGACTGTGCAGAGAGTGAGCGGAGTTCGTTACTCTGACGTAGCAACAAGCTGCTCGATAAGGAACTATAATTTGGCTGAAGGAACATTAAAACATATTAAATGCCACATTCACAGCCCAAATTTATTAATTTCTTACTTTATTTATTTAACTGTTGTATAAAAGCAATAGACCACTGGAGGTCATGAGTGGATGATCACGGCTGTGATGTTACTCTGCGATAACACACTGCCTCTCGTGTTCTATTGCTCAAATATTCAGTATTGTGTGTGTTGTAACATGCATGTGATGCGGTTGTACCTAGAACATTCTATTTTTGTCTACCCCTATATGGTCATGTCTGTCACACCTTTCACTAGTCATGTATGACCTGAGCCTAATCTGTGACTGTCCACTGTTCAGTGGACTGGCTAAATGTCTAGTACCTGCGCACAAGAAACATAAAACATACTGATGTCACGCCTTATATGATTCATGCCAACTCATGACTTCAGTGTGAGTGGGCGGGGCTAAACTGCTGTAGGCTAAACAGGCAGATTATTTTTATTATATTTTTATTGTCGATTAATCTGTTGATCGATTAATCGATTAACTCTTTGTTCTATAAAATGTCAGAAAATGGTGAAAAATGTCGATCAGTGTTTTCCAAAGCCCAAGATGACGTCGTCAAATGTCTTTTTTTAGCCACACCCCAAATATATTCAGGTTGATGTCACAGAGAAGTAAAGAAACCAGAAAATATTCAAATTTAAGAAGCAGGAATCAGAATTTTACTAACTTTTCTTAAATAATTACTCAAATCGATTAATCGATTACCAAAACAGTTGCTGATTCATTTAACAGTCGACAACTAATCGATTAATCGAATAATTGTTGCGGCTCTGATATGGACTGTATTAACTTTGTGCTTTATCTTTCCTGACGTCCTGAAACTTTAACAATGTTTCCACACTTCACCAAACTCTTTTATAGAAAGTCCATAAAACTGACTGTCTGCTGTTCAGTGTGGTGGCTACATGTCTGGTACCTGCGCGTAAACTTCAATTCCCCAGATATACGGCTGCTCCCTGGTTTTTGGTGGATTTGGATTCTTCAGGTATCATAGATCACCGACGTTGTAGTAATTAATGGGGGACCATCTAAACAGTGCAATTTCCATGTATTTAGCTAACAGAAGGCAAAATCATGTCAAACCACTTAGTAAAGACAGTGGCCCTTAAGACAACTACAAATCCCAGATTGTATAAGAATTTGCCTTCTTTTAGTTAAATACAAGGCAAATAGAACTTAGAAAGAAGTCATGTTATGCACATTATAGACGCTCCCTTAATCACTAAAGCATCTGTATCTGCGTTTCCCAACCATTATTTTCAGCAGACTTTAAGAAACAACTTTTTATTATCATATTTATTTGTAGTTTGTACTCAGGAGCAAAGAAATGAAGGTTTAATCATTTTGAGATGTTTATTTGATGAGAAATCGAGAAGAGAGTGTTGAACATCCAGCAAATCAGACTGCGCTGTCAAATAGGTGTGATGGTCAGGTGTGCACATACTTTCATCATATGTCCCAGTCTTAATTCACAAAAATCATGCCACAGCATTTTTTGGGGTTGCATGAGTTTTAAACCAATATAAGATTGTCAGCAGTAGAATTTGCAAACATTTCTTTCATACATTTTCAATGTACCAGATAAAAAATGCACCTAAAGTATATCGTGGTCTCCTGTCAAAGAATAAATTATGTACAGAGACACTTGTACATTCGCAAGCCAAAGTCGTGTGAGCTGTAGTTCCATAAAACCACTGAGGAAAGAGTAAAGACCCTTGTTCGTGTGCGTCAGCCACACACTCACCCGTTTTGGCTCTGTCGTGCTGTGCTGCGGGTCATTCTGCTTCGTGTACGAGGGCAGGGACGGACTTTCAGACTGCACTAGCGCCGTCCTCTCGTTACAAGCATCTTCTTCGCTGTCCGAGGTGTTCATGAATGGAGCGGGGTGGGGGGCAAATCACACACAGCTGCAAAGAAGGGGATTTTCTGTTGGACAAGGCAAAGATAATGCAAAGATAGTGAATATGCAAAATCAACGAAAAGGATTACACAACTTAATCAAGCACTTCATTAAACATATTGATATCATGCCATATATGATTTCATGCCACCTCATGACTTCAGTGTGAGTGGGTGGGGCTAAACTGCTATAGACTAA